CTATGGCCCCTCATCAATGTTATAACAAAATGACACTGAATGAGATGATGTTATTCCAGGACCTACTGTGTGCCTTTGAAGACGGTCATAGCCTTTGCACACTGAGTGGAACATGACCACATGATTTTGTTAAAGGAGTAACAGAAGAAAATATAATGCTCTTATTTTTTAAATGAGATATAGTAGTAAATACAGTTATTTTCTGCCTTTACTAGCAAAGACACATTTGCTTTGTACATGCTGGAGAGGTCAGGTGACTGACTCCAGGTTAAAAGCCTTCGGTGAAGCCAAGGCCCCATTTCAGGTGTCCTGAATCTCGCTCAGTCCAGCTAGCTCCCTAAACGGTCGTGTCCATTATTATCTCACTTTACCTTATTGTCTAAATTATAATGAAATTAATTCTAGTTATGTTCTTTAAACAGAACCCATTTTATTCCCACCTGACTTTATGAGTCATGGGCATATACCTATAACACAATAAGAAATCCAAAGTTCGCCATTGAAAGGGGAGCAGTTTTGAGGGTTATATAGCTCTTTTAAGTTTGGGAATTGTAATTCTGTTCTCTGAAAAAAAAACTTACCAGATGCAACAGTAGTAGAAAGAGCACTGGACTGACAGTCAGTAGACCTGAGTTTTGCCTCCTGCCTTTACTACTAAATAGTGGCAGGACACAGGCAAGTTACTTATTCTCTATGGTTTCAACTGTGGAATTAAGATAAAGGCTTCTTAAAGGACTTTCTGATTTTGAGATCCTTTGCTTCTACAAGTTTTACTTTAGAAATGTAAAAAGGTTATAGTACCTTAGTTGTACAGAAACACATAGAACTTGAAATTAGATCGGCTAATCTCAAATTAGGCTCTGGCCCTAAGATTAAATGTTATTTAGCCTTTATGATTTTCTACTAAAAAGTATAATTAATAAATCTATCATTTATTCACTATGTTTAAAATGAAGAGTATATATCAAACAGCCATATTTTGTTCAAATCACTAGAGTTCACAAAAGGATTGCCAATGAGCAGATCAGCAGCTCCTGTAAGGGAAGGTGGCCCACTGGGATATCTTTGGGAAGCAAGCAGAAGACCTTGCAAGGGATTATCCCAGAAAAACAAAAGGAGAGTTAACATCCTTCTTAGGAAAAAAATAAGAAAAATGGAAGTAAAGAAATATAATAAAATATCATGAAATCAGTAAAGAAAAAATATACATATAAAGAAAAATGGAGTTTTTGGGTTTTTTTCTTTCCCTCTCCCCTCCCCAGAGAAAAGACCTTCTAAAGCATGGTCCCCATGTGTGGTCAGTTTGCAGGTGAGGAAAGGGCTCATAGCCGCTTTCCTCCTCTGACATCACTCCCAATATTTAACTCCCAGCTTGTGCTCCCAGTTCTGTCTTCAGCATCCAATGAAGTGGTAGTAGCACCCTCGGCTGGATCCATGGGTTACCTCTATGTTTGAAATACCATAGAATTTAGAAACAATTGCTTATAAATCCCAGAGAGTTATAAGAAATATGCACTAGAGGTTGACTAAATACTGAAATTTATGCAATTATAATGCCCATTTACAGAGTGTGAAATCAAGTTACCACCAGAGTTCTGAGAATTTGATTACTCTTGGAAGAGATAGATGTCTTATAGGCCTAAATCCCCAGGGTGAATTAATTGCAACCTAATAAATAGTGTTAACAAATCTAGAAAAAAGAAGAAAAAATGGATTAATAGCAGCAAAGCAGCCCACTAAGAAAAGTAGGCAAATGAGATTTAAAGAAACTAAACTGATCAGTCTCTGCACTCAACTAGAGAAGGAGAGATCTAGAGCTATGCACTTCCTCGGAGAGCTATTTTGCTCCATGGTTCTGCCAATGCTGTGGTTTACCCAAGGTGCAGATGAACTATCCCTACCCCAAACCATTTCAATTCCCTCATTAATTCAATGCTATAAAGTCTGATTACTAATTTTCTTTCTCAGACTCTTCTAGAGCATTCCATCATTAAAAAACATTATTTCTGGATATAAATTAATAAATTTGACCATCTGCACTATATATAAGTCTTCTATAACTTTGATTAGTCTATCCACTTCACAAGAGACTGATCATCTAATAATAAAGTTGTGCCAATAAAATCTTGTCTCTGGAATACAAGTCTGAAGAACTATCTTTTAACTGCCCAGACAACCTCTATAGCTAATGTCTCTACAAGATAAATCTGTATCCTTCGCCTAAACATTAATATCAACTATATCCAAACTGGATGTAATACGCTATTTTGTTTTTGCACTTCTAGGGTCATTAAGCAAATACATAAATAATTCTGTTATGTCATGCAAAATGTGTCAAGTGCTCATTCATTATACAGCTTGGGGTTAGAATTATCACCTTTTTAAATTTCAATGTTATTATTTTTACAGCCTAGATCTTTTGAAGTATTAGGATAGTTAATAGTTTCCATATTTTTTTATATTCTTTAAAAAACAAAAAAACTACATATATGAAAGTTATGGGTTAATGTATTCAAGAGTCTCCAATTTTCTAATGGAAGAAATGAAATTTGCTCACATTAGCAAATCCATAATTCTGAAATGCAATCATTTGCCTCGTGTGTGCATGTATTATTTTGACAGCTTTAAGACACGTGAAATACATGAAAAAACTTCAAAGGTGAACATGTCTCAGATGTTCAATCAGAAAAGAGTGCACACATGCACATGATGTTCTGTCTTCCTTTAAAGAGAAAACACTCGTCCTGAGCAGATCCTTCTTGCTTTCCAACACACTGGTATATGTTGTTTAATTTACCCATCTAGGATGGCCTTTATTACTTTTTAGACTGCTAATTCATCAAAACGAAAGATTTCATCATCTCTTTGATAAGACTTAATGTTTCAAACAAACCCTTAAAAAGAAATATTTAACTCCAGCCTACAGAAAACTGAGTATTTGAAACCTACAAAAGTGCTTCTCTTTCTTAGAATGATGTCTCTTTTAAAAAACAACATACAGGCTGGGAGCTGCCTTTTCTTCCCCCATATTTAACCTGATTTTCCTTTAAGAATGCTCACTGACTCGCCTTGTGACATCCTAAAGTGTGTTTGCCTCTGAAAGAAAGGCAGCTGTTCATAAGTAGATACTTCTTTAAAATATTTGTGAAGATATCTGAAAATGTGATTTAACATCAATATCTGAGTAAAGATTGTGACTATTTATATTTGAGATAGAATAATTTAATTATCATTTCTGACATGGAAAAAAGGCCAAGTTAGTTTGATTTTTTCAATAGTCAGGTAAGCCAGCCATCCCAGCTTTATCTGATTCACCTTCAGGTAAATATCGACATCAGATTTCTGGGCAGGGGGTCAGGGGAGGAATCTGGAAACAAAACCTTGTTTTCATTTCCAAACATCATTCAGATACTAATCATTCTAGACATTGAAATTGTCATCTTATGAAGTTTCGTAAAAATTATCTTAAAATGTATCCCAAGAATCTAGATGATGAGTAAGGACAGTAATGGATAACTAATGTTTATAAATCTGCTTTTAGCAATCCCAGTCCTATTATCAGAAGTGGTCAGTGGCCTCTACTTCCTGCCCCATCCAATGAATTCAACAGACAACTCTGATGTCCTAGCAATCCCACTACCAAGTCAAAGAGAAGACACAGTTAAGAGAGTATTTTCCATCAATGACAAGCCGATAAAATTTCTGACTTTAAAAGGATTTTTCATTCTTAGAAACTCCAGAAATACCCAACGTGTCTATGGCAGAGCAGTTACTCGGGTAAAAGCATCTCTTACACTAAATCAGTCAGACAAGTCTCCTGAAGTTTTGAACAAATTCTGGACACATTAAGACCACGTCGGTCTTCAGTGACCATTCAAAAACAGTTCAAAAGAAGTACAAAGAGGCTATAAATTGTCTGTTCTCATATAAAGGTGTGTCTGAGTTTATTACTCTCTTCCTCTCAGGTACACCCTGACACGCCTCTCCATTGCCTTTGATAGTTTTGCTTCATTTTGGTTTTGTTTCTATGCCCCCTCCTCAGTCCCTGGTACCTAATCTTCAGAAAAAGATGAATACACAGAACTGGAGGTAGGGAAGGCTCATTTCCCACAAAGCTAGTAAGACCTGAGGACTAGGTAGTAGTTAGATCACAAAGATAAGAGGATTACAGTATCTGGCATTCTATCTTGTTCCCTTTTAAGTGAACACAACAACTTTGTATTTTTACCCAATATCCTTGCATCTGCTCAATCTTTTTCTTATAACACTTTGAAGTAAGTTCCCAGCATCTGATCTTTCAGGCAGTTTAACTTAGAACAGCAGCTGCTAAATTTCACTGTAAAATTAAGCCTGAATGCCGTAAGTTGAATGTTATATTTCTCTAGCCCATGTAAGTTTCCAATAATGGGGTTTTTTTTCCACGAAGAAAAAAATGAAACATCAAACAAAAGTAATACACATGTATGCACTGGGAATGAATATGGAGAGCAATAGATCTTATGAGGCAGTGAAATGTCATCTTCATTCACACTATGTATTCAGCAACACAGCTGTCATAGCTCTGATTTCTGTCACTTTGTAAACAGAGTCATTTTCAAACATTCTAGCTTAATGAGTAGTGAGCAAAATTAGCAAACGTCCATTGCCCCACTTTCTGAAAATGGACAACAGCAGTGTCCACTGATGTCCAGGACAGATGGGTTGCGCCCCATCAGCCATAAGTGTCCAAAGCAACTCTGTGCATTGTTTAGGAAAGGAGGCAAAAGTTTTTATCTGTCAAGCAGTAAGTGTCCTTATAAGTTTGCTTCCTTTTTTCACACAGAAAATAGAGGTTATGTTTAATGTGTCCCTGTTAGTTAACCAATGATTCTCTTCCAAACCACTACTACACTGAGAGCAGGAGCCTGGCTGCTCTTAAGTCTCAACCACATCCTGCAGCACCAAGAGCAGCCTACAGTTGGCTTGGCTGTCCTATTTCATTAAATCAAACCTCCTCTTACCTCGACTTCCTTGTTCTTCTCTTTGTTTCTGCCCATGGAACTTCGCCCATTGCTGGCGGTCTCCCGTGCAGGGATTACGGATATCTGGTGGAGGGGCATACTGGCAGGGCTGCAGGTTGCCAGTCCCTGATTGGATGCCTTATCTCTTCACTCGCCCTGAGTAGCCCACCTGCACAATTGTTCATATCCTTGCTTTGCCAAGCTCAGTTCTAAACAAAAAAGGGAAAAATAGTGTGTGAGACACGGTGCAGCAGAAGCCAGGGTCTCTGGCCAAAATGTCAAACACACTGTAAGGGAGGCTAAAAGAAATGCAAGAACCAATCATTCAGGAAGTGTTGTCTCTCAAAAGGATGATTTACTGCAAGTCATAACTGCTCTGCTTTGTCACTGGAGCGCCCCCTCTCCCCTAAGAGCATTGTGGGAGACAATTCAATTTCTATGGTACCTAATAACTGTCATGGAAACCAAGGAAACCTGGGTCTCACAGGCCCTTATTAGCAACTGCTTCCTTTAATGGCACAGACTCCCACATTTGCAGCGGCTGCCACTTCTGGTTTTGTTTCTCTCGATTCCCCAGGGGTCCACTAAGCACCCAGAGACACTGCATTCTGCTGACTAAGTAAATAAGCAGAAGGCTGAAAAGCTTAGTGTCCTATTTGGAGCCAAATCTCTTCCTTGAAAAGCATGATGAGCTGGCTGCCTCCACAATAATCAGCTTAGGTCACAGGATCTGGCCCGAAGTGAAGAGCATTGAGAGAGGTGCTATAGAGTAAGAACACAGAGCCAGAGGGGTGACAGAGAGGGGCAGAGGCTGAATGGGGAGCGAATGCAAGTGTTTTACTTTGGATGATGGTAAATAGAGTTAACATCCCCTGCACCTTTCTCAGGAAGACATCAGCCACAGGAGTCAGAAGGCATTATCATTCTGAAACACCACACACCACACGACACATTTCAGCGTTACTGCAATTCCTGTGCTCCCTGGAATATATTTTGACAATTGACAGGAGCTTCCCCTTGCTTTTCCAAGAAAGAAACAGACTCTGCTAAGGACTTTATTGTCCTCTTAATAAATGATTGATACACATTTCTGTCCTTCATATTAGAAAAAGAAATCCAATCTCTCAGTGGAGTGAGTTTTCAAAATACTTTAACTTTTAAAAATATTACTTTCCCTCTATGATCATTTCTTCTTTGTTAGCGTATTTAGTGTTCTGTTTCTATGGCAGGTGTGCAAACCATAGGCCACAGGCGGCCCAGGATGGCTATGAAACAGCCCAATACAAAATCATAAATTTACTTTAAACCTTTTTTTTGCAGTTTTTGTTAGTGTTTGTGCATTTAATGTGTGGCCCAAGACAACTCTTCTTCTTCCAGTGTGACCCAGAGATGCCAGAAGTTTGGACACAGGACAGAATTTGAATACATGTACTTTATATTTTCTGGAGATTTTGAATAGATTAAATCTCTGACTATCTTTTGTGTTTCTTTACCTCAAAAGAGGCAAAACTTATAAAATCAGTTGTTTTATACATCTTCAGGCACCGTGCATAAGTTAGTTCTACTTTGTCCCTAATCCCACAGGAGAACTTCCACACAGTTTCTGTCTGCAATTCATCTTTAACCAGCTGTGTATTCCACAACGACAATGCCATTTTCTATAAGAACTTTCCATTTTGTTTAAACTCAGGGTAGTCCTAAAGTAAAAAGTGTAGGTACATTCTTTGGCAAGACAAAAATAATCAATGTAAAGCCTGCTAAAAAAAAATCTTTAAGTTAAATATTAGCTGAAATGAATACTTGGATGTACCTTCAAGTTTGGTCTAACTGTGTGTTCCTAAATTCAAAACCCTACCATCCATCGGGCCCACCTGAAGAGATTTAGAACACAGATACTCACTTTAGAACACTGAGACTCACTTTACCATAGACTCGGGTTCACTGGGCTGCAGCGGGAACCTGAGCTGGACCTGTCTTTAAAATACCACAGGTGATTCTGACACCAAGCCATTTGGGGCATCACTGCAGTACATCAATAAAATAACCTTAGAACAATGAGGAAATGAAAGTTTGTCCAGTGACAAATCTCCTGCTTTAAAATAGTCAAAAAAAGAGTTAAGTAGCCCTAAATCTGGCACATGTTCACATCATTTCCAGTTTACAAAAAGTGTTTGTGAAAGGCTTAATGAAGTGACTAAAAGCCAAACTCTTCCCCAAAAGTCATATCTGAAGTTAAGTTGATAAGGCCTAAAAATCACATCTGTGACCTGTCACTGCGGACATTTCCTTACTTTAAAAAATAATCCTTAATCCCTCTATCTAGAAGGACTGTCTTAATTAAGGGAAGGCTGGAAATAGAAGTTTGCAAATGTAATAGTGTGTGACAAATACTCAAATGTAAATTATGAATCTGTTTAGAAAAAGTCATACCCTCAGTGTTTACATCCATGAAAAGTTCCATGAAAAGCTAAGGCAGCTTTCCAGATGATTTAGACTTTACTACTTTTGCTTAAAATATTCATTGAAGTTACAGGAAAGGAGAGTTTTAGCTTGAATTAACTAAATGGCTGTCTTAATCCTTGACCTCATTATGCATGTGAGCTTTATCTTTTGTTTACTCTGGGATTTTTCAAAAATCAGATTTAAATTTCAAGGTAATTTGATTTTATGTGGTTGAGTTATTTCAATTAGCTTTCTTTTATCTTAAAATTTAGAAAACAAATTGAATTTCTAAACAAAGATATTTACTTTCTAGAGTATTTAACGAATTAAACAAGAGAAAGTTTATTATGTCTTTTTAAGTAAGTACTTCAGAAATAATAAGAAACATTAATAACCAGGATGTTTAATAAACATATACCGACCACCGTATTAGGTTCTGCCACAAAATAAGCTCTCACATTTTCAAAGTGTATCAGAGAGAGAAAAAAACAAAAGCACACACTTTTAACACTCCGTGTGTTCTAATGCTCTCTTGACTCAGAACACACATCAAGCACCATCACTGACTTGCATCTAACACCTTTCTTTAAGCAACTCCCAACTGGAAGCATGAAGTCTCTCTGGATCAAATCATTCTGTAACAATCCAAAACTGAAAAAAAAAAGTGTCGTGGAATGCATTTCTCCTGTGAGAGGACAGTCCATCTTCTGCAGTAATTGAACCCTCTGGAAAAAACGAGAAGCAATGCATTCAGCAGCTGAGCACTGACAGGCATTGGCCTCGCTGCCAGCAAAGAGCCATGGACCCTGGAATCATTCAGCTCATTTGTATCTATACATCATTATGATCGGGACTTCCCAACCTGATTTCTGTGGAAATTATTTACCATAATTATTGTTGAAGCCTTCTTGGAAGAGTCACTCTCCACCTGATCTGATGCCACACAGCTTGAGTTACCTTTGTTTTGCTTCTACTTCTGATTTCCATCCCTTTGGCTCTGGGAACAGTACCTCGATTACAGGCTCTGGCTCCTCAATTTGGCAGTTATAGTTTGTAATTTTAATGCTAGAACCTACCTAAGTAATTCTCATTTGAAGCTTCTCCTCACTCTCAATGACTTAGGTGGTTTTTAGTTTAAATGGAAAACAAAATATATTCATCTGATTCTCTACTGTACACCCTCCCTCAGCTTTGACAGCTTTAAAAAAAGGGTGAGCCTCTGAGGGGTGTATTTAGATCATAATTAAGCGAGAAAAGGAATCCAGCCTTGGGCAAAGGAAAGGAACCGAGTAAACATCTGCTGATGTATTGACTGGACAGACTGATAATTCAATTCAACAAACACGTACAGAACATCTTCTGTTTCCTGAGCCATTCTAGGAATTAAGGGGCAGGAGATAATGTACAAAAGTGGGTGGGACAGTCTCCATAGCCAAGGAGTTTGCTATGTCATCAGGGAGATAAGACTTACACACACAAATTTTAAAAATATATGACAGCATACATCAATATTTAAAACCTAACATAGAATATTGACTGTAAATTTTTTTTAAACTTGACTATCAGGAAATCCTAACAGGTCTAAATAGTTCATCTTAAGGAGGAACTGGGGGTTACTAGAAATAAGGTGATGAAGTGACTTCGAGGAATAGAGAAGAGTGTGACATTGACATGTGGGAATGCAGACACTAGTTTAAGTAATAGAGAAAATTTGGTTAAGATTATCAATTTAGACCATGTATGCCCAATAGAATATGGCATTGGTTCAAACTTGGGAGAGGAATCAGGCCAAGAGCCTGAAGAAAGGGAAAGTCTATGCTGAGCAATATCGATGTTATAAATGCACAGATAAAGGATTCAGAAATAATAAAGCTAAAAACTTCAAGTGAATTCTGAAAATGGAAGCCAATGTTCTGAGTTGGGAAAGATACTCTGTAGCACGTTCCTGGTGAAAGAGAGGACACATGGATTGAATGGGTTTTCAACATGCAATCACATAAGGCCTTTGTAAGAAGTTATTGGGAAGAATACAGGAGCAAGACACCACTGCACAAAAACTTTATGGTATCTTATAAAAGAGAAGGAGTAATAAACTTCGATTTAAAAGCTATTTTTACTGGGGAAATGCTAAAGCATATACTTATATAGAAGAGTTATGAAATAATGCAAACAAACAAAACAAGGTCAGTGGGAATAACGAAAGCAAAAGATAAAACAAAAATAATTAAAATCCCTATTTCTCAGTTTATAAAAAATCTGCAATGTAATGAAACATTTCTAACGTGGTATACTTTTCCTGGGTTCTGTCTGAATGTTGGACTTCAGTGATAACTATTTTGGCATGCACAACTATCTTTTGTAATTAGAACAATGCCCTTTTAAGGTCAAAATTCTGTCTGTGAAGATCTCTCAGAAGCAATTGGATCAACCTTGTAACACGAAAGTGAAATGAACTCTCAAGACTTTTTATTTTAATCTCTGAAAAGTGTTGGTCCCAATTTTGGACACATCTATTTTCTGAGGTTGAAGATGATTATAATGGAGCCAAGGAATTCAGTTCAGTCTTTCTCAGAATCAGTGTCAATCCACACAGAACAGAAGATATTTGATAACTACAGCAGACACCGAAGTGATCAGTTGTACCAGTTTTTATTCTTTATATTATACTCATGACAAAAGCCTGTCATCAGAAACAGAATCTTCTCATTAACTTCATAGGACTAATCTTTGTTCCTTTCTAATTTGCTGTGGAAAAGAAAAAAATAGTTTCATTCTAGTCTCTAAAAAATATGTCAGAAGTAATCAAAACTCTAAGGAGTATAAGCATAATTAATATTTAATTAGCTTTGTGGAAACAGTTTAGGATTAAACTCGATCAAATTTCATGTTGTAGATTATTCATTGGCAAAACAAATGAAATTAAAATCTTATTTAAAAAGCAAAATTTAGTTTGCTTTGCCAATGAATAATCTACAACATGAAATTTGATCGAGTTTAATGCAGTTTTGCTCAGTCTCACTTTCCAAGAATATCAATGTACAAGTTAATCTTTGTTAATGTTCTCTGTGATTCTCAAGATGTTAGTGTATCTACCTAC